GAACGTCCGACACGTGCTCGACTACAGTGAGACTTCGTAAGAAAGCCGAAATGTCTCAAAAAGATTTAAAATGGTAATTCCTTACAGTGGTAAGCAATGAAACATTATTGCTTATAAAGACAATGGTAATAGATTTTACTTATTGGAGAAGAATAAATAAGGCTTTCTATAGTTCAACGTATACGAGCGAACACTTGGCGAATAGAATTATTTAGTACAACATTGTATATTCAAACATACACACTTAGCAACAACTTTTCTCTAAATACCAAAAAGTATAAAAATACAGAGACCCCAAGGCCAAAACCTGACCTTAACTTGAGTAACTTATTAAAGCACATCGTCTGATAATACGTACATAAAAATACCTATTTATACTAAAAGGCCAACTTTAACCTAATAAAGGCGAGATGAGTTTCAGCAAATTGGATTAGGGCCTCGCTAAAAGGGATACAAAGTTTTAAAAAGAAGACGACCGCACTAGAGAAACTTCTTAATTCATTTAGTTTTATGGGAGACTTTCATTTAACATTATCCTTTATGTATGCTACTTTGAATAGTTTTAACAAACAGTCTTGGGGCGCAAGCGCAAATAAGTCTCAAGATAAGTTACCATAAATTCAAAATGTGCTGTGCTGTTTGTTGCTCTGACAAAGGGCCCAGTCAATCTTCTACTGATGTTACGCAGACGCAATGTAATTTCGATCGATTTCGATTTTTGTTTTGTCCTTAATACATTAATTTTGAGAACTTAATATTTTTCACATGTTATTGCACATGATGGAATATAAATTGAAAAAAAAAAAAAAAACGACACGGGCGGGTCTTGCTTCGGTATCGTGCTGTGTTGTTTTCCTAACCAATTGAGCCACCGTGTCCTACACGTCGTCGTCGATTTTTTAACCTATTGATAAATGCACCTCGCGCAATATAATTTTCATACCTAAACAATTCAAGTCCTGTATTTTTTTCAATCCAAAATTGATTTTTAATTTATATAACTAGGTACCTATGTTGAAATATATAAATGTTAACCTTAAGATAAATTGTATCTACGCGAGCCGCGTACAGCTAAGAAAATAAACGTAATCAGGTTTCAGATGGAGTGTAATTTTATTCATGCATAGTTAAAACGTTTTATAAACAACGAACTCGACGGTTCACGCTTCTTGAACGCTAGCAACTGAACTGGGTTCAGAGTACGGCTGTTTATTCACTGTTTTGTTTTACTTAACATTAACTTCAGTCTGCAGTGCTGTGCTTTTCGTTTGTAAATTGTTCTAGAATAAATGTCTTTGAACTTACGAAGAAAATCCATACATATAATATGTTAGATTGTAGAAAGCTTTCGCAGCTATTTGAAAAACTGAAATTTGAAGAGGTGAAGAAGGTGAAACGTCTAGAACCATTTCGCAAGTACGACGACTGAGAATCAAGTAGCATACGGGAAAATTATGGTTTGTATAGTATAACGCCTTTTCAATAAACAGTTAAACCGTTTTGGACGTCACTCTGATTGATTTGACTACAAAAGTGATCAACAATTAAAGACATTTTATAGCATATTAGTTACTTGACACGATAAAAGATTTAGATAAAACACTGCTAACGGAAACATATGTTGGTGTGACCAAGGCTGCTGCAAATGGCTTTAGTTTAACTAAGTTAATATAGAAATTAGCTACATCGCGTCTTCGACCATTAAGTGTTTTATTTAAATGTGTACTATCCGAATAAACTACAGAAACGCGAAAAAATATTTTAGCTATGTGAAGAAGTTTTTAAATACTTCTTACTGTCTGTAAAATACGCGAGTAGTAGGTACACTTTTAAATAAGACATTTTAACGGTGTATATATATATATATATTAATTAAACTTATTTGAAACTTCGGGCCGTAGCTAAAATTAATTTTCAAATAAGTTTAACGAATATATAACGCGTTTTAAACCGTTAAAGTGTTTTATTAGAAAGCGTTTTTAGGTTTCTACCTTACTTATTTCCATGTTATCATGGTAGAATAAAATATTTTTTAAATCCAAAAGCGGCCTACCAAGTACTAAGATCTTATACATGACTAGGAACTATATATTGTCAATCAAACGAGTGTCGCATGATGTCACGATAGTATTGTTTTGATATTATTGTCGTTAATTTATTTTCGTGTACTGATTAATCGTATCAGCGAACGTGTCACTGTGTTTGTTATCCGGCGGTTTATTAAATAACATGTTATAATAATAAATAAAATTGATTGCATCACTATCTGTACGTTTCGTGATCTTCATTAGAACGGCGCTTAGTGCTAACGAAATTATTTACAAAATACGCATATCATCACGTAGTTAATATTTAGTCGAATTGCATTTTTCATGACGTTTATTATTAGTATTAATAATTACAAACAAGTAAACTCTTAAATACTGTTTATAGTTTACGCGAGTAGTACACATTTAAATAAAACACTCTTAATGGTTTAAAACGTGATATATTAGTAAAACTAACTAATATATCGCGTTTTAAACCGTCAAAGTGTTTTATTTAAAAGTAAACTCATGTTACCTTAAGACAGTAAGTGTGATATCGATACTATTTTAACGATAGGAATGCAAGCATGCTATTCACTTGGTGAAACATACCAGCTACATAACTTTTACACAAAATGCGCTGTCGACTTATTATTGCATACGTTTATAACTAACAAAACGCATCTTAACATAAACTAATCATTCAAGCAAAGAAGAAACATTTTGTGGACTCATTTGGTATTACTTAATTACAAATTAATTAGCGTTATACATGCTTTTAATACAAAGTAATAGAATAATATCTTTTACGATTTCCAATTGCGTATTATATATTGTAGTTGTAAACTCAATTAATGACTTTTCACTGGTTTTTCTAAGAAATTGTTATAGAGTAAATTCAAAGATGCGGATTCGAGAGATACCAGATATTAATACCGTAGTTTGGGTTAATTTAAAACGCATTTCTAAATTCAATCAAATTAAGTATTCTTGGGGTACATATTTTTATCAACATAAGCTACTAGGTATCAGAGAAGCCAATACGCCCTAGCACTTCTCAGAGTGCGTCGTTCGCAAGTCGCACCGCTTCCACGTAGAACAATCAATAGCAATTAAGAGGTCATTTAATTCTAATAAGACAGGTTTCCTTAATAACCGTTTCTGTGGATATTTCCAAACATTACGCAACAAACTAGACGTCAAGTAGCGAGTCGCATCTAAAGGTCAGATCGATACAACTAGAGTCCGGAGTCCTTAGAACGAAATCTTTTAAGAGGTATATATAGGATATTTCCTTTTCAAATCTAAAAATATACAGACCTAGTCTACTTAGTAGACTGTTGTAGTGGCAATAACCATATATGGATATTAAAAGTGTTTAATTGGTGACTACTCGCGTAACCACGAACAGTACTGAATATTTGTTCATCAAATAAACGTTAAATATATCGAATTCATTTCAGCTTAAATTTAATAGTCCAAATCAAAGTCTAAATGTACAGAACACACTATATGGGCGTTCATTTTACGTTAGAGGCACCATCTGCACCATATTCAATATCGAATCTGTATTAGTTTATATTACATATGGTAACATTAATATGCATGACTGTTACTTATATATACATGGCAATAAACTTCTGTGTGTGTCGCTCTTATAACAAGTTGTTTAATTTTACTTTGCTGCGAATCAAAATTATCAGACACACCTTTCCTGTCGTTCAGTTATGACGGGAATACAACAATCATAAGTAGATAAAACACATACATAGCATGCATCATAAACATCTGTATAACGAAGCATGAAGTTTTTCTAATGGAGGTCTTAGTAATTAAAATAGCATTAAGTCCTTTGATTTATGGAACCGCATAAAGAATCCAGGAAGGACAAGTTTTGCACTATTTTGTATACCGACATCTGTTATTTATTGCACTGACGCAAGATCCGGCTTGCAGTGATAAATAAAACAACGATAAGTTAGAATCACTAATCGAGTAAACGGCAGCTGTTTATCATTAGGTGATGGAATACGAGGTCCTTCCAAAGACCAGGTGACCTGGGCTCACATCTTTTTAAAGGTAGTCTAGAATTCTTTACGAATAATAAACAAAAAGATGGAAGTTTGTGTTTATGGCTGGTAACTACTAGTAGTAGTAAATCTATACAAATAAGTTTTATAATCTTTTTATGGTTACGATTAGTTATCGCTTTTTACCCAACGCCTGAGAAAAATTTGATGTGAAATTTTATTTCTCTATTGGTCGACGCGTCTTTAAGAGAACGAATTCGAAACGCATTTTTATAGGTGATGCCAATCTAAAAATCTTGATTAATCATATTTAAAACCATTACTGATACCTACGTAATGGTAAGAACGGGAGACGCAGACTATTATCTATATATACTATATCTATCTAATTATAGACATTGTCGAAATACTCCTAAAACTATCAAATACACAATAATAGTACAATAAGTATAAACTAAGCAGGTAAATGTCTATTGTTATGGCGGATAAACTGTGTACATAACATTATATTTGCAGTTATAAGGGTTTATTCCATTCAAACAGTTTTCCTAAGAGACGCTGCCTCAAAATCAATAAGCGCTTCAAAGTTGTTTCATGTTTAGATGATGTATTATTATAATTAATAGATACAGATCCAAAGGAGAATTATATTATTATAATCTGATAATTATTTTGTGTTACTTTATGTGTGTTTTAAGTTACGAAATGTGTACGTATGTACTTAGGAATAAGTCTAGGTTGCCTTGGCAATATTCTTTTTATCCGTAAATCCTTCATATCCTACCAGTGCCCACTCTCAAGGTTTATTCAGCTGTTTATTTCAAGGCGTGGGCCACAAAAAGGAGTTTGTGACCATTACACATTCAACGACACAAGGTTACGTTATGGGCACAGTTAAGCAATAATTAATTTAAATTAGGTAGGTTTTCAGCTTAGTGGAGCCATGAGCTGCGGTGTGAAGGTCAACAAAGGCATAAATTTGAAAGTCTGATAAGGCTGAAATCAAAAATCAATATACACGCCAGGGTAACTACGAACATATCTTAAAATATGCAGAGAGATTTTTTGGTGATGCATGTAACTTATTGATTGTTTGTAATCAATAAGTTAAATGCACAATCTAGATCAAATTTTATCTATTCGGGAAATATGATGTCTGTCTCTCTGTTTGAAATATGGAAGAAGTATAAACTTAATAATAAAATGACGGAGATGAAAATATAGATTGTTATACCTAGTTAGATTAAGAGCAGCTGGCATTCCAGCCGGCACGAACCACCAAGACGGCAGCGGTGTGCACATCCGCTGCGAGGCTGCTCCTCACCAGACAGTGCACACCACACTCAATTCGACGGCACTGCAATTCACCATTCGCACTCGGGATAGCTATCTCGTCAATGTCAGCGCGGTGTCATGGTTCAGCGCGGCTGATTGACCCGAATATAGATAACGGTGACGCAAAACCGTTTGGCAATCTATGGATATGGAACTTTCCGGCGACCAAGGATAAAAGTGACAGGCCACCGTGCTATGCAAATTCGGCTGCGAAACTGAGGAAACAATGAAGGGAAAGGAAACGAAATCGGCCTCCGTTTTATTGTGACACACTAGTCCAAATTGTTGCACGGAGACGGTCGATCGAGTGCGTCTATGCCGAAGTTTAGGGGAGCACAGTGGGGAGCGAAAGTGAGGGTCGATATGGGGTAGTTAGGGGTCGATAAACTTTGCCGAGAGAAAAAACGCGCGGGACCGGCGACCCTAAGATTTGGCGGGATATCGAACGTGCGAGGGTAGGTCCGCGTGCGGCCGGAGTCGCGTGACGGCGCGAGGCGGTCGGCCCGTGCGTCGCTCGGATTTCAACTGACGTAGCGTTGCAGTCGGGCGCTCTTCGGTGGCTCCAAGCTACGCGTGTCGGCCGGCTCCCGCCCCGCGCCATGTGCCGCCCTGAGATAACGCACCCTCTAATGCCGAATAATCCTACGAAATAGTACAGAATGTGCCCCGAGATCTTCTATACTATCTCGCCTCTTGGATTCATTAAACGTTTTATTCTCTTCAACTAAAGGTACAAATCACGTCGTCGTAATGTAATTGTAATAAATACAAAATAAATGATTACATAAAATTAACTGGATACGCAAACGACGGTTTGCGATAGTTTGACGTAAACGATTAACGCAGTTATAAATAAATAACTCGCCAATGTAAATAAGCGAGATAAAGCAATATAGATGAATGCTTGCGCGAGTAATTAATGTGCAATATGGCGAAAAGCTTTATGAGCTCAGCGGTGGTCGGACAGATGTGAATTCCAGCGAGCCGACGGCCTAGAATTCACCACCCCTGACGCGTACGAGCGACGCGGCTATAAACCACTCGGATATCGGACGTCGCGTCGCCACTGAACCGTACTATCCCAATTGAGAGATTCCGAAAATCGACAAGAGGAAAATAACTCAGCAATCTATCAATGTTCGACATTGTTCTAGGAAATTATCTTACTTAATGCAAGTGTATGTGGCTTCTTTGAAATATAACATGTTAGAAGACATTAGAATCGTCACTTTGTTTATTTTTATAACGTCAGCACGCACATAGTTTTTTTATTTAAAGGACTAGGTTACTACTTACATAGCATATATAATAGATAGTGTATATATAACATTATCAAAAACATTTTCTAATAACAGATTTATAAAAATACATGCTATTAGTAAAAAAATAACTACTTACATTTATAGATTACATTCTATCAACAAACTATCGCTTTATATTTTTAAATCCACATACATTAAGATTAGTTTCGTTCGATGGATATTTTGACGTAACCAGCCCACCCACGATGTTTACCAGACAAATATAATATTTCTTAGACACGAGAGCAAGTAAGTTTTAAAGTATTAATAGCTACATATGCATCGCAGCTTTTTAATAAATATCACAGTAAATTGTCTGTAGTTTTACGCGAGTAGTACACATTTAAATGAAACACTTTGACGGTTTAAAACGCGATATATTTTAGTTAAATTGGTTTGACAATTATTTTTAACTACGGCCCGACGTTTCGGATGCTTTGCAGCATGCATGTCTGCCCATGACCACGGGCCGTAGTTAAAAATAATTTTCAAACGAGTTAAAGTAAAATATATCGCGTTTAAAACCGTCAGTGTTTTATTTAAAAAATATCACAGTAAGAAATAATAATTATGTCATTGAAAGTCCTCAATGCTGCAGTCTACGTCATAATCGGTAGTTTTGCACGAATCCTAACTATTATTATGATTAATTTAATTATCATATTATACTATTGTGTCAAGGAATCAATATTTATTTGTTTGAAGGTGGTTCGATGCCATTAAAATGAGATATTAGTAATAATCAAAAGAGTTTTCATTAGCTAGTCAAATTTTTATTAACTAAATTTGTTAGAGTAAGTCGAGATCAAATACATATTAAATAAATTGTTTAACTATAGTTATACACTTGTAGTTCATAGTTTTTATTTTTGTGTGCAACTTTTAAATAAATGTTTATACTGTAAATAACAACATAATTTTGTCTAATAAAACACAAATTGTAAAAAAATAATGTACACAATACATTGAAGAAAAAAAAACGATACGAAACGTCGAGCCGTAGTTAAAAATATCAATAGAAAACACTTTAACCGTTTAAAACGCGATATATTAGTTAAACTTATTTGATAATTATTTTTAACTTCGGCCCGACGTTTCGTCACGGGGGTCTCCCCGTGACCACGGCTGCTGCAAATTTTCAAATAAGTTTAACTAATATATCGCGTTTTAAACCGTTAAAGTGTTTTATTTAAACAAAGAACTGTCAGCACAAGATCAATTGCGCAGTTAGATGACCCGATAAAGGCGGTCTCATAAACTCCAGTATGGACGTCTGTGCCATGGAATGAAACAGGGCACAAAATATTTATCTGAACGTAAATCTAAAATCGGCTACGAAATATTGCTTTGTTACGCGAGAGTCGAATTTAATGTAACGCGAAGAGCGGATAGCGAATTTTTAACGCGGACGTGAATTGTAGACTAAAAATTATTAGATAAGATATATGTGTGAGTTCTAATTTATGGGCCCGATAGACATGTAGGACAAGCGATTATTGCCACCCGGGTAAGATAAGTTAAAATTAAATACTGTCTAGTGTAGTAGTTTACGTGAGTAATGTGTACTAACATTTAAATAAAACACTTTAACGGTTTAAAACGCGATATATTAGTCTCCCCGTGACCACGGCTGCTGCAGAGCATCCGAAACGTCGGGCCGAAGTAAAAAATAATTTTCAAATAAGTTTAACTATTAATATATCGCGTTTTATATAGTACACATAAAAATGGACAAAAACGGTTTCGGCCCTTTAAAATTATTAAAACAGTACTGATTGCTGAATATAGACAATGAAAATGTACAATGATAATCCGACTTTCAAAAGGAATTCGAACAATGCATTTGGGTCATGTTTGTGAAGAATTTCCATTCTGGCTCTTGTATAAATTAAATGGATTTCATGAATTAACACGTGTTTTATCTAAGTGGGGCGGAGACATTACTGTCTGCACTGTTCCTACTTGAAGACAAGTAGTTGATACGATTTTTGTGTCTCGCCGGATCAAATCTACATAATATACATATACCAGCGCTATGATCCAACGAGGAGTACTTAACGGAAAAAGAAGGCGTTTGTCATTGAGCCGCGGAGACGAATAAAAACTGGTTTGTAAATATAATAACGAGCAGTCACTCCTAATTTGGTCGGTGCAAAAACATTATTGTGTCTTATCGTAATTTTTTTTCATTGACAGGGGAGGACAGACAGGGGTAGGTTTACTTGATGGAAGGTGAAATCCCCAGCCATTTAACATTTAAATAGCTCTTGATATATATTGGCTTACGAATATATCCAAATATCTAGACGATGGGTAAAAAAAACCCGATCGCGAATCACTGATAATTTTGGCACATCTATCACGTAAATCGTCAATAATATATTGTGATAATTAGGCTATATAACAATAAATTGAATGAATGATTTAAATGAACTCCTTAAACGGTTTAAAACGCGATTTATATTAGTTATTAGAAAATTATTTTAACTTTCCGACGTTTTGGAGACGGTTGGCAGACCGCCGTTGGCAGTTTAATTTATATATTTCGCGTTTTAATCTACAGACAGTATTGAATGAGCGGATAAGTGCAAAAAACCACATCGTCTTCACCTTTTTATTACTATAAATATAATTAAACGCAGTTAAAACATAGATGTGAAATAAATCGCATTAATATTGAACGCTGTGGTCAATCGTCGGTGATAGCCGAACCACAGCACGTTCATAGCAGCTACATAATTATTGTTACAACATGTAAAGGCGAGTGCATAATAAACAATGGTTTTACCAACTGCTAATAAGATAAATTCAGTTACTTCTCCTGTTGAACTCTATAAATTGAATGTTTGTATGGAAATTTGTGGTTTTTGAAGCTAGAACAATGAAACTATTCTTCCTTGGCTTTTTTTGGAATAGGAGTGGGAGTGGGAGTTAGAGAGGCGTGATGTGAGGTGAGAGTGTTGCGGCAAAGTAGCACTTACAACATAGATTGGCTGCGATAAATGCGCAATTACATAAATTAATAAACAGCCTAAATAATTAAAAATTCTACCCCAAGTCACTATTCCACGCGAACGAAGTCGCGGGCACAGCTATTTACCATATAAAGGGGTTCAAGAAACAAGTCCATAGAATCAACTAGTAGTAACAAACTAATAAAGTTTTTGTGTATCTCAGCATGGAAATAGCTAAAGCTCTGGTATAATGCCATTAAGTGATTGTTAAGGACATTTTGGTAATCCTATTAAATAAAACCAATACTCTATCTAGTGTCTGAAGGGTTTGGAAGCGCAATTTATAGCGAATCTAATAAATAAAAAGAAATTCGATAGTACAATCTCTTTGATCGCGGCAAAATACAATTAATTTAATCTTCGTCTCACCCCACGACCTTGTCGTGATCAAAATGCCATGTGACGTTAAATCATCATAAAATGTAATACAAAATAAGATCATAAATTACGATAGAAACATGTACGTGTGTGTAGATACGCTACATGAGGAAATGTATTAATCTGATCGCCGTATGAATGTTTGCTTTACGTAATAAAATACTGTGATAAAGAACAAGACTACACTTCCTACATTACAACTTTTGGGTCGGCGATATGATTATTGTTATTCTATTATGGGAAAAATACTATTGAAATTGACATGTTGGTGTAATGCAGTGTATGGACTTTAGCAATCTATGGCTAACAATCAAGGGTTCAATCAATTCAAAGTTTCTGAAACATGTTGCACTTTTAAATAAAACACTTTAACGGTTTAAAACGCGATATATTCTTTAAAAATCATTTTCAAATAAGTTTAACTAATATATCGCGTTTTAAACAGTTAAAGTGTTTTATTTAAATGTGTACTACTCGCGTAAACTATAGACAGTATTTCATGTTGTACTTCTACTGGAAACGTGGACATTAAATGGGTGGTAGGAAATTCCGTCGCGGTTACGAACCATCAAATGAAATGACGTTTCGGTTACAGTCTGTGCATTTCTAAATATCCAAAGTCCTAATAAGACGACAGCGCATTTAGTTTAGATGTTATATGGCTGGGGAATTTTACCATCTAACAAGGGAACGCGCCATGCTTGTCTGTCTTCCTCCATAATAAAAAAAGAACTTATAAATCGATTCAAACGGTTCTCTGCGATAAGTATTTTCTTTAGCAATTTACTAGGACGTCTCGATTGTAGACAACAAAATAAATACGAGGATTCGGTGGGCACCTAGATTGATGAAGTAGTGGATGGGATTTCGAGTTCAAAATAGTTCCAATTGATAACAATCTGTACGGA